AATTGGTATAGTATCTACTAAATGTGGAGCATTTATTTTGTTACTTATCAAAGATAGCTGTGATTGATTTCACGGATTCGTATTAGTATATAAAACCAATTTAAAGAAAGTATTTCGCTTTTTTGTCATATTAAAGTAAAATCTACGTCTAAAAAAATATTGTCTTATTATGTATTAAAATTCAATTAGGTTCTTTAAAGAATTCCACAGAATTGGCTAATTAAAAAAATTACGATAAAGACTGTTTATATTTGTTACATAATCATCAATATCTGTTAACTAATTTCTATGATTTATACGTGATTAAATATATTGCTGGATTGTTTGAATCTGATAGTGTAGAAATATGTATTCGTACTAATTCATTACAAACATCATTAATTCTTTTGACTATACTCAATATGATGGATTGTATCGAATTGTAATTGTAATGCTTTTGCATTACATGTGAATCAGTATTTCATTAGAAAATAGCTTCTGATTGGTATCCTATATTTTTCTACAGACAATCTATCGCTATTCTTGAACACAATCTCAGAACTGCTAATGTGATCTCAATAAACCAATGGTTTCCTATCGTTAACGTTCATGAATTTCTTCCATAGATATGCCAAATTTCGTTGATTAGTTCGACAATTTTGAACGTAGTATTTCTGTTCTTTACGTGTATGTGTCCTAAATGAATTATTTAGATGATACAAGTACTCAGTATTTGCGTAATATATCCATAGAGTATATGTGGAAAAATAATGCATGTAAATGTTAATAAATGTTATACATAATTTACGCAATTGTCAATTTAATTTGTTCCATTAGCAATTAGATTCTTCGTTTCTATTCTATAATAATATAGCCTATATATATGTGCACCTCCTTTCCTGTTCATGGACCAACAAACAATATTCAAACTCGAAATCTGCTATCTATTGTTTTCTTTATAAAAGGAAATTATAAAGCCACTAAAGTGTAAATTTAAATCTAGTAATTTCGCTTGACGAGACTAGAATAAATTACCCTAGTGAAAGTCTAGTACACGACAGGAGCGCCATTGGGAGTCATCGATTTAAATTGTTTAGAACCGACCCTAACCTACAAATATGGAGACACGAACATCAAAAATTTCTACAAAAATTTCTCATCTATGAAACTACTCTGTGGTGGCGTCATTGTAGAATATGAATTTAAAAGAGTGACAGTTGATCACGTCCAATCCTGCCTCGTGAATGAAATTTATTTAGTTTGTATTTTTAAAAGTTTATGTACCTAGTAAATACAAGAATAGTCCAACAATTTCATTCAAAGTTATTCGATTAATCTGTGAGTTTCTTTTAACACGCGTACAAACAAAATACAAAAATGGCCGAATTGTCTATATGGGAACCAACATTGGAAGAAACTATGGTAAAACTTCGAAGTACATTAGGCCTGTTATACCAAATATGGGAAGAGATAGGATTTACAAAAGAAACCCGTTCCATGTATTGTGAACAGGTATTTTGTCACATAAATGACCTCTTACAAGAAATGGTTTCAGAATCACAACTGAAAAAAGAAACAATATTAAGCAATGTTACTCAATTAATGGATCAAATTTCTTCTACAAGTAAGGAATTAGGAAGAGAGGTACAAACGACTGGATATGAAAATTATTCATTGAAAGACCTAGAGCAAGTGCTATCTTCAGATTTACAAAAGTTGCAACATTGTAAAGATCAGCGCATGACACTTTTAAGGGAATTGCGTGAAAAGGAACAATCTCTTTGTCGAGTACTTGGTACTCAACCAATTAATCTAAAGGATAGTTTACCATCTGAAGAGGAACTGGAGAGTTTCAAACTATATCTGGAAAAGCAGGAAGGCGAGAAGAATCGTCTAGAATCAGTTTTTAAGGAAATGCGTAGAACGATCATCAAAATGATGGATGACCTGGGCATTTCTCCATCCACAAATTTTGAACATTTTATATACACAGATAGTGAAAACTTTGTTTGCAATAACATTAATATGACCAAGTTGAGAGAACTTAGAGATGATCTTAAACATCAGGTAGATAAGGCAAAGGTACATGTAGAGGATCTTAAACAAGAGCTACATGAAATATGGAAATACCTTGATGAACCAGAACGTATTTGTCAATCCTTTCTTACTAGTTATGTTGGATACAGTGTTGCAACTAGAAATGCATTACAAGAAGAATTAGCAAGATGTAAAGAAAAAAGAAAGCAAAATATTGCAAAATATGTGTCACAAGTAAGAGATCAATTGGTGAATTTATGGGATTTATGTAAATTCAGCGAAGAGCAAAGAAAACAATTCCAATATTTTCATTGTCAGACATACACAGAAGATTTACTGACATTACACGAGCTTGAAGTAAAAAGAGTACAGGAATTTTATGAGAATTACAAGGCTATATTTGAACTCTTAGAAGAACGTGACAACTTGTGGACAAAAATGAAGGAACTGTTGCAACGTGCAAATGATCCAGATCGTTTCTACAATCGTGGTGGTCAGTTATTAATGGAAGAGAAAGAACGTAAGACAATTCAAAAACAATTACCAAAAATAGAAGAGCAACTGAAGAATTTAATAAAAGAGTATGAAGAAATACATGGGGAAGAATTTACTATAAATGGAGTAACAATAGAGGAATTGTTAAAAGAGTCATATGATCATTTGAATAAAGAAAAAGAAACAATAAAAAAGGCTAGGAAAGAGCCAAAAGACAAATCAGTGAAAAAAATAACTTTAAGTGCTTCTAGGAGACTCACACCCAATTCATCAAAGAAAACACCAGGTATATTAAGTAATCGTCGACATACACCACTGAGTATATCAAAGAGAAAGTTGTTGTTCACTCCATCTCCAAATACATCAGCAAAACGTAGGAATCTCAGCAGTGTTACTGGATCTAAATTGAGGAGGAGTGCAAAAGTTACAAGAAAAATCTTACAGTCTGGAAAAAAAATAATTAAAAATAAGCAAGATGAAGAAAATTCTATGTCGCAAAATTCTGCAGGTACAGATACAACATATAATCAATTCAAAGAACATTTAGAAGATAAAGGAGAATTACGAAGCTCTTTATTACCAGAACAAGTACTAACAAATGCAACTAAATCAAGAATGAAGACACCGGTACGAACTCCGGCTAAACCAATGCGAAAAAATTTACCATCCAAGTTAACACCTACAACTCCCAAAATGATGCAGTCACAATTAGTTAAATCACCTCGCAGTCCTAGGCTTGTACAATCATCAAAACTTGCTCCAGTATCAACACCTTTACCTATCATTTTTTAAAATAGTTCTAACAAAAATCCTTGCAAGTAATTCAAATTTTAATTCATATAACATGATTTCTAAATATTTTAAGTTTAAAACCAATAATTATTTTTTATATATTTTAAAGTTAAGGACTTTAGGGAAATATTACTTAATTAATATAGGTTATGTGTCACGTATGTGTAATAGATACTTACATGTGTATAATTGGCAGGGTAATACTCTTTTATGTTATTTCTTTGAATGTATAATGCTAATTTGTTAATGCGTCTTTCATGTTTTATTATTTAAATGCAATCTTTTGTATATGTGTGTATTCACTACAAATTATAAAACAAATTATTATTGTATACATGAAATAGTGAATTTACAAAGTTGGATTGTAAATAAAATTTCAGTTCTGAATTGTAGTATTAATCAATATGTAATAAATAATAATAGGGCATAATGAAACGTACATATTTTGTGAGAGCACTGTTTCGTTACGCTGCTGAATAACAAGTTACATTTACATAAAAGCGGGAATAATATGCATCGGCAAAAATATTTTTCGATAAAAAATCTATGTAGAATAATTAAGTCCAATAGAATCGACATTAATAGTGTTAATTTTCTTAAAAAGGAAGCTCCGTAAAAGTTTTACAACGAAGTAAATATACACACGAAATATTCGTAACGAGTGTTTACATTTTAACTTTATTAAAGTAACATGTTAATCACATGACCTTTTTATCTTTTCTGCAATACCCACAGAACTTGTTTTTAAACGTTACTGAAAGCACTTTTTCAAGTATTACTTTGTGTTTACATATGTAGTACACGCTTATTACGTACTTTTAGTTAGTTATTGACTTGTCGTACTTTTAAATTGCGAAACAAAGTAATTTAGTTTTACGAGCGCCGGAATTTACAAAAAATAATCAAATAATTTGCGATTTCTCGTAATAGTTAATACTGTACAAGTCGGTATAGTAGGGCGATTAGATACGAAGGAATTTTATTTTTGATAAACATCGGGATATTTCTATTAATATTTCTAATTTTCAACACATAATTACATATTCTGTAATCGTTTGTCACTATATTATATCGTAAGTTAAGCAATCATGCATCGTACATAGTACCTTTTTTCTGTTCTCCCTGAGGCACATGTTCAGGTATGTTTCAGTTATTTACTTCTTTCGTTTACAGACGATGTGAGTTTACGTATTACAATTTTATATAATTGCATTTTTAATGAATAAAGACTGTGTAAACGCGAACCTAGCCGTTCCCAGCAAATATAATGCTAACGTTGATGTTTGGCAGAAACAATATATTTTTAACATATTATAAGGAAGAAAAAGTTGGAAAATTTGTAATAATCCAATATGAATATGAGTAAAACCCCTGTATCTATTCTGCAAGAAATGATGGTGAAAAAACAAACAGTACCAGACTATGAACTTATACATGATGGAGGTGGGACACACATAAATACATTTACCTACAAAGTGACATGCGATGGTCTCAGCGCAAATGGTACTGGTCGTTCTAAGAAGGATGCAAAGCACGAAGCTGCAAATGCAATGTTACAAGCTATCGCAGCACATAGAGGTTATCCGCAGTTGCCAGCATCGCCAGCACAATCACCTCTGAGAACACCGTTACCTCCAACAGTTCCAGAATCTCAAAGATTGCCACCAAATGTTCCTTTTGTTAATGCCATAGGCGCTTTACAAGTAAGATGTATTACTTATGTATTGTTATTATTTTGTGAATTAGAGCAAAAGTAATTAAATACAGATTGTTGTAGGATATATGTCTCGAGAACAACTTAGAAGAACCTGATTACGTACTAATTAGTGATGTTGGACCACCTCATGCAAAAATTTTTACTATGCAATGCTTAGTTGCAACATTTAAAGAAGTCGGTATTGCAAGAACGAAAAAGCAAGCTAAACAGGATGCTGCTAAAAAGATGTTAGATAAAATAACTGATTTAGTAGCTGATCTTAAAGATATAGACTTGTGTTGTTCCAAATCAGATAACGAGCTACCTATGACGAAAAAAAGTAATTTAGGTTTTAAGGTATCAGAATATCATACTAAGTTTAGAAATTCTTTTAGTACCAACGAATGTGAAGACATAATTCAAAAGTTAGAATCCCTTATTCCTCAAGAGTATAATAATAGTAATATTTCTGAGGACTTTGTAGAGGACTTTTTTTCGAAAGTTAAAGAATTTTTGTCGACTTTAGATCTCAATATCTCAGCTATGCATTTAGAATGCGTAAATTCAGAGAGTTACATTGTAGCATTGAGACTTAACACTAGTCCTAAAATTGTACAAATTTCAGTAGAAAAGACAATAGCGGAAGCTAAATTTTATACGATATTAAAATTAATTAATTCCATTGTACTTCTTTTGAAGTAAGGATGATAGGAGTAACTAGAACTTTTTAAAACGAATATTCCCTTAACATGATTTTAAAAAGAGAGTTGCGTGCTTTAAACGGGATTCGTAAACAAATGATTGATTTTGTTATGCAAAATTTGAACGATGTTTATTTTATTTTTCTGTTTAAAGAAAATCCTAGATACAGAGTGTACAAACATTAATCTAAAAATTACAAATTAAGTTTTCTTGTATCAGTTAAGATATACATGATAATAGCTGTTTGTATTATATTAATCTATAACACCTATTATTAAGTATTGGGAAGTTAAGACGTATACTTTCAATTCTCACAAATTTGTTCAATTTGAGTAAGAGAAATGGTTTTACAAGACTCTTGTAATACATATTTTTTATGAATGTATAAAACGTACGTTTTCGTTTATCGTTATGGAATCATGGATATAATATTGAATGCCTGTAAATATCCTTTCTTACTTTTTTTTTAAGTAAGTATTAATTTTAATTTCATATTTAATTTTAAATATAGCTTTTGTAATAAATATTGCCTTCAAATTCTAGGTAAGAAAAGATAAACTATTCTTACAGAGATTAATCTTAATATCAAAGAGTATTTATTTTATTTTGTTTTAATCATGTAGTAAATAAATGGTTACAGTGTCAAGGTTGTAACTGATACATTTATTTTTGTTTGTATGGAAGTTTGAAAAAGAACAAACATATTTTTTCACATTTTTTGTCGATTCTAAAAAATTTAACAAAATATATACATTAATAAAATTATGTTACAGAAAAGTTAACAAAGAATGAAATTATATTGTTCATTTCTTAAAAAGAATAGTTTCTTAATTTTTATGAAATTCGACTCCTGGCATTTTGTTTAAAAAACAAATATTTAGTATCTATCAGTAAATATTTAGTTTTATTTAATCGACGATACGTTAGAATATCACTGAGTTAGCGTTTGAGACACTTCAAACATCCTAGAATTTTTAAGTTCAAATACGTGTTGAACAAGATATAATATTTTTTTACACTGTAGTATCATCACAGAAGTGATTTATTTATAAACAAACTCATTAATAATCTTGTAATTTTCGACTTCATCAATATGTATAGAAAGCTATTCACAAATATAATGATTGCGTTAACTCTATACATTCTTTCTCTTCTTTGTCTTCTTTCTTGCTGAAGCACCCTTAGTAAGAAGCGCTTCGATCTGC